TTTTGCTAACAAAAGCAATCGGAAAAGCCTATACGGTCTCTCTTAAGTGGCCTATTGAACGAAAATGATTTGAGCGTTCGTGATCATACCCAGACGCGTAGGCGTAAAATAGAAGAATGAACTGAATTATGTTAGAATTCTAAAAACGCAACCTTTCATTTACCAACCCCAAAATACTTTGCTTTCTTAATTCTCCATACTCTAATGATAAATGAGTAAAGAGGATAAATTTCTAAGAAAACTGTGGTGCTCCGTCGATAGGTATAACAAGATAATTTGATTTTATCAACGGAGTAAATTAAAGTAAATTGGCCACCGTAAAGAGTCTCTAAGGCTGATGAAAATACAATTATTATAGATAGAGATTCGAAAAAAAGTAATATCTCATGTCTTCATTTAAAACAGATAAAAATCCAATGCAATAAGGTTAACCATTTGAAATCTTTAATACCATGGTGTGTGAACAAATTCACAACTTAATACGAAAGATGCACGCTACACGCGCGTGTAAGGCATAAATTAATGTAACCTTCCACCTAAACCTTCAACCGCATGAAAATTCTGAAATTCACAAACACTAAACATAATTTCCATCAATGGGCCGCGTAACAAAAGCTTTAAGCATCTTTATCTTAGTACTTGTACTGTAGTCTTCTCATGAATACTTTAAAAAAAGCCCTGACACCATACTTTGATCCGGCAGCCGAACACTATACGGATACCTAAATTCGCTTCATGATAAACTCGGTGGTCACATAATGATGATCTGAACATTTTAAGAATTGAAATAACCTCCGTTCGTTTATCTTATGCGAATGTTACGTTTTCTGTGTTTCTTTTGTTTTGTTTTGTTGTTTTTCTTATCGACTATGAGCCTTTTTTTTTTACCCAATTTTTACTCGAAAATGGGGGTTAATATTTTTAGTCTGTACACTTCAGCGACAAGTAACCCACGGCAAGGGTTTCAACGCAAAACTTATCCTGACTTCCACGGCATCGTGTTTCCTCCTTTGGATAAGATACCCTTTTCCCGCTAGCGTTTCGTCAAGTTTTAAATCGTTAATTACGGTTTCCTTAGTAATAACTATGCGCTATCGTGGATGTCTGATTGAAGTTTATTTCCCAAGAACATAACATCATAATCCGTCCAGGGCCCGAGCTTCTTGTTCTGTTGTTATCATATCATGGTATTTCTCACACTATAGAGATAAAGTACGTACCTTCTTATTTCCTCCAAACTCATGGCTTTCAAACAGCTTTCTAACGAGTTGATGCTCCAATTCGACAATACCAATTCCACGTTAAAATGAGACAGCAATAAATTACTTGATTGATTTCCATTCTCTAAATCTGCCTAAAGTATTCCTTTTCTTACACCATTCTCCGGCGGTTTAAAGTTCTTTTAGGTCAGAGGTATCCAGGCCCTTTGAATGATATTCTCGACAAGTTTGAATGACCTATCTCAGTTTTCTTTAGTTTGCCATGATAAAAGAGTTCCTATACTGCTAACATTCATTGCTTTAAGCTTGCAATGAAATCCTGTAATCTTTTAGGCATAAATCTATTCTGGAGAAAGCATGTCCACTTTTAATAGAAACCTACAAAGTAATATAAGTTTTTTGCTGATACAAGTCAAACATGTAGAGTAGCGGTAGAGAAAGATTTCAAGTGACGAAAGCTTTATAGAAATTTTTCTAATGAAACCATCTTGAGCTGTTGTAAAATCTTTGTAAACATATCATCATCTTAATCATCAAGTGATTAAAATTGCCAGTTCGGTTGGAGAACGTAGCGGAAAACTGTTAAAAACATGTTCTGCAAACTGGTGTCTAATACTCACCTTCAGTGAATATCGCCCTCTCTAAGGATTGATGGCAAGCCATTATAGTAAAGATAAGTAAACTTTTGATTAGTTAATACTAAACAAGTTTCCCCTTAAGAAGAAATCAAAACTGTTCCTGATATAAATGGTCTCATACAACTTGCCACGTAATGATGTGCATAAAATGATATGTGGTTTTTGATTAAGTTAGAGTGCTGAACGGGAAAATAGTTGGCTCGACGTCTTTACTCACCTCCCGATCGCAGGAAGTGTTTCAATTTATTTCATAGGTACATGCCTTGACAAGCTGTGATGGGATTGAATTATCTGCGTATAAACAAATCCACATTTAACAATGGAAGCAAAAGTATTTAGAAACAGCTCTTCTGTAAGAGATCGGCAAGGCCGACATAACTATGTTTCAGCTTTGCAACCGGAACTTTGGGAAAGCGGATGAAACTCACGCACGCTGAACTAATCATTTTTTTCTAAAATGCACCGCTTTGAAAGAAAACTCAAGAGGTTTGTTTTGATATTACCAATATTTGATAACCAGAGGCACTTTGTGACATGGGCAAACATTACAAGAGTTTGTGACGGGAGATCAGCAAAGTCGACCTAACCATGTTTCAGGTTTGCCAACGAAGATTTAACGAAACTAAATCAGATTAGGATTTTATGACTCATATTTTTATTAATACTCAACACGCTTACATAGAAAAAGCAATTACACGAAGGACTTTACAGTTGACTTATTTTTTAATTAATCTTTGTGCCAACATAGTGGGCGTTTAACATTCTTATCACGATGGTTATTATACAGCAACGGAAGCGGTACGCTTTTTATCCAATGCGTCATTGCTCCTTTGAACGGCTAAAACATTTTTAAAAGGTTACTTCCCACCTTCTCATTCCAAACAAAAAAAAAACATTTTTTCTTTTATTTGACTAAACTGAAGTTAAACATTTTACCTAACGTTTCCGGAAAAAAAAATTTAAAAATCTGCAAAAGCGTCCGAGTTATTTACAAAAACGTATCTTCAAATAAGACTTGTTAAATCGGGAAGGTGCCATAATCTTATAGGCCCTCATCGATTGTGATAAAAGTAGCATATTATTTTACTAGCAGTGCCTCATTATTTTTCCAAATTATGCTCAAGAGTATGTTTTTTTTTGTGAAAATTATGCCACTTTTTCTTAATGTATGCTTAAAAATAAAAAGAACAAAACTATTCTTAAAACCACAATTATATATTTATTGTTAATAAAGCATCATATTTTATTTAATTATCTAGAGTTACACACTTCGCTCTGATAAAACACACCTAAGTACTGCACTTCACTCCAGGCTAGAAGCGGTGACTTGATGTTCTCTCAACTTCGACTTCTTGATCTATTCTCTCCCACTGGCATGTTTTTTGGAAGCACAATGGGATGACAAAATGCTTTTCTTTGATGAAACAACCTCTCTGCAAGCAGTGCAACATCTC